CGGCTGCGTACCTTGGTCATTGACCTGTTGACTCGACCAGAGGTGCAGTAGCAAGGCAAGACATTGGCCAGGGCCTCGGTATTTTTGCACCAGACACTCCCACAAACTCACAGCCACCTTTTTGTCGGAGACTTGTCGTATTTGGTTTATTTTGACGCCGTTTCTTTATCATTTTCTTTGTAAAAAAATTATTTCCTCGTCTCCCGGACACCAACAGCCAGGGGGGACCGAGTCCTGCTTATTTACCGGATCCTTGCTCTTGTTGCCCAAGGACAGGGCGACGTCTGCCTTACGACGCTAAGCCGGGAGCTCCTCTACCGGGGAACACAGGGCTGCGCCGGAACACTGCCCCTCAAGGAAGCAAAACGAAAAGGGAGAGAAGGGGAAAAGAAAATTAAATAAATAGGTGTCAGATCACTGCGGACTAGGATCAAGGATTCGTCGCTGCCAGAGGTCCCCCTTTCCCACGTGCGTTGGCGGCAAAATCCTACAAAGAACAAAGCGCCCCCCCTTTGCTCGCCCCTAGGCTTGATTTTGGTGTTTTTTGCCCATCAAATTGCCTGCCCTGGTGGAGAGCTCGAAAAGCTCCATCGTCAACCGACTGGTCCCTTTTGGTTCAACGACATTCCGGCAATTGTGCTCCGGCCTCACGACTCACGGGACGAAGGAAAAAAAATCCAAACAGGCAATATCATTGTACATGTTTGGCACTGAAGGCTGTTGGATTGGCGGTCATTGATTCTCGACTCTGTAACTGGTACTCATCCAAGTGACCGTTGCGCGGCCCAAGCTTGAGCATCCCCAGCACCACAGCGTACAGCAGACCGGGGTCTTCTGTTCAACTGTACCAGGTTGACCTCTTTTTCTCCCGTTTGTTGTTGGCGCATCTTGCCTATTGTCCTGGGATTTCGTTTTTGTGCCAGCCACTTTTTTTTTCTTTTATTTACTGGTTTTCTTTTGCTCTCCAGATCTCTCTTATTAACCTTGTTCCCCGTGCTTGCATTGCAGATCTGGGGTTCAAAGCACCAGACCATTCCACGAGCCGCATTCCACCGTTTCCCAGCAAACCACGAGTAGCCGCTTTAAAAAAAAAAAAAAAAAACGCCCTGCGCATCCTTTCCGACTACAGATGGAAAATCTCACCATCGCATCATCCTGCTGTCTCGGTTGCTAATACATTGGCCCCTCGTCCGATACCACTCTCTGCCCAAAGTACTCGGTACCTTTGCGGCACGAACCTGCCTGCACCTTCCCGACTGTGTATCTCGTGTCTCGACTTCTCGGCACATCTGTGCCGAAAGCTGCCCAGAGCTGCCCAGAGCTGCCCAGACTTGGTCTTGCTGCAGATTTGTTGTCTTAGATTGCGGACCACAACATTGAAGCCCAGCGTCCGTGAGCCCTTGGGAGGGGACCGTTTTATCCGGGAGAATAATAGTAATCGAGACAGGACCAGGCGTTGAGTTTGGTCATTGACATTGATATTTCAGATTCGACCGACGCCTGCGAGGTGGCCTCTCCGTTGAACCACTTTCTTTTTGGTGACAATATTTTTTTGTTATCCTCCCTTGCTCATCGTCCCTCTGCCTAAACATCTCTTTTTTTCGTCTCGCCTTCTTCGTCTCGCCACAAATGCTCACCTTCGCCGGTCGCCCCAAGTCATCAGTCTTTGGCAGCCATCGTATCGATACCAGTCCGCCTATGGAGGGTGAAGGAGGAGGAGGAGGAGGAGCAAGAGGAGGAGGAGCAGGAGGAGGAGGAGCATCGTCTCGATTCAAGCGGCTCTCGTTTATGATGCATTCGCCGCGTCTTGCTCATGGCTCCGACTCAGATATGTCGCCCATGTCTTCTGTGCCGCCAAAGGGTGTCCAACCCAATGCCAAGCTGGCTACCAAGACGGTTGCCAAGATCAACACCAAGACGGACATGACCAAGTCTGTCGATGCGAAATTCAACGCCGCGCTTGATGCTTCGGCTTCCTACTTTCCTCCGCCGTCTAAACTCGACATCAAGCAAGGGTCCAGTGAAGATGATTTTTCAGCTGACGTGAGGAAAGCCTCCATATCGTTCCCGGACGAGTTGCCGAAGCCCGATCACTCGCCTTCAGATCGAACCCCCACCGATGCGCTTTCCGAGAGCTCCTTTGGGCGGAAATCGTCTGTGTCGTCCATTTCATTTCGACGCTCGAGGAACCCGTCCGTCGCACCGAGCACTTCTAAGCAAACTGCTCATGGCTTGCGCATTCGAAATGCGTCTCCGCCGCCTCAACGGTAAGAGTCCTGACATCTCCCTGTCCAAATCCCACACATGTCATCTACCCTTTTCACCCATTGTCTGCTGCCCGCGTGCACACTGGCATGCCAAAAAACCAGAGCACGAGACCGTGTTTGTCCAGTGTCAGGTTGTAAGGTGACCAACACAGCCGGTCTCCGTCATGCCAAAACGGGGTCGTTGGCTTTTATACCCCAAAGTTGACCCCTGCGCTGCGTCTTGCTCCATGGTCAGCTCTCATGCTGTGCACACCAACTCGGCATCTCTACCCGGAGTCAACATGGCGGATGCGCTGGGTGCAATGCCGTCTTTGCCGCAACCACCGCTTGACTGCCTGGATCCAACAAGAGTCGAACTCGGGGCTTGTGAAGCTGTCTCTACGTCGACCATGGCCCACATGGCGATGAACGGTGGAGTGGAACCGCTCCAAGCTGCTGGGTTAGCATTGAAGCATAGCGGCGGATCCCGCAAGCCAAACGAATACCTTAGATCTGGTCATTGAGATCTGGCTGGCTGGACGCACCATCATGTCGGCCATCCGGATGGGTCTGGCTAGGCCTCCCGCCTGCTTCGTACCAAACTGGACAGTACATGGCTGCGGGCTGGCAGTGCGGTCGATGGCAGCGACAGCGACGTTGCTCAGCATGCTGCACGTATGCACAGGGACAGGCAGGCTGGCAGCTCATCCATCATCCAGTGTGCCTGGCCGCATTCCCAAACGTCTTGGCCGCATCCGCATACCAAAGCGACCCGCGCTTGTTGCTACGAGTGAGGACTGCACATGGCAGACTCTCGCCTGCGCCCGGGCTGGCCGCGAGCGTCGTTTGGGGGCAGCGATGGATCCACCTGGACCAGGCTGTGTCTGAAGCCAGCCCTCTATTGCAACTCTGGCCATTGCCCACTCCGTCCACATCCGCCCAGTGCCTCTAGCCTACCCCGCTATCAACCAGCAATAGCCTTGCTGAGCCGTCTGGCCGTCACGACCAAGCCAGGCATGGCGCACGAGGCATTGCTCCGTATCGCCACATGCACCATGAAGACATGCACACACAGAGACGCCGCGGGGTTGGACCCTCTTGGACAAGGCAGCGGCGCAGCACCTACAGTGAGGGTAGCACACATCGGTCACTGGACCAGGCAGGATCCTTCCCAGTGTCTGGTGCCAGGCAGGCTCTTTCATGGCTGGCCGCAGCCCAACCCGGCTCCGGCTACATGTCGAGACTAGCTCGAGGCTACTCTGGCCGCCACGACAGTGGTGGAGTCATAGTTTCGAATGTCGTCTGTTCCAGTCTTGTCTACCCACATGCTCACTGCCCAAGTCTGAGCCTCACATCCCGGCGCTGTTACTCCTCTTTCTTTGCATCTTCCTGACCTGTCGCACCTTTGCCATTCTTGCTCTCTTCAATCGCTTCCTCAATTACATGTTTGCCGAACTCTGCGGCTCCAAGGCTGTAACCGATTCGCACAATGGCGACGCTAACCGAGACGAAAAACGATAGGTTTCAGCACCACGTTGGTTTCGACAATGTCCCCAGCGGCGAGGCTACCAAGAACAACACCCTCTCGTTGACCCTCAACGTTCGGCACAAGGGATATCAGGCTCGACGCAGATCGCGCAGCTTCATGGTTGGCGTCGACGAGCACTCATATTCTGACTATGCCATTCAGTGGCTGCTAGATGAGCTGGTCGATGACGGCGACGAAATTGTTTGTGTCCGGGTCATTGAGAAGGAAATCCGCTACAATGATAAGCAATACCAAGAGGACGCTGCAACCGTTATGCAGAACATTCTGGCCAAGAACGCTTCCAACCATGCCATTAGTTTTGTGCTCGAGTATGCCGTGGGAAAGTTGCATGCGACCTTCCAAAAGCTGGTTCGTACACCCTTGGGCCTACCGACAGGCATTGCATTCGTGCGTGTGTGCATGTGAGAGAGAGAGATGAGACACTGACCGCTGTCCCCTTGCAGATCCAGATGTACCAGCCTGCCATGCTCATTGTTGGCACTAAAGGTCGCTCCCTTGGTGGCATCCAAGGACTGGTCAATGCCCGCAATTCCTTCTCCAAGTACTGCCTGCAATACTCACCCGTTCCTGTTGTTGTTGTTCGGCCGACAGAGAAGCGCATAAAAAAGAAGGTCAAGCGTGCCAACGACACAACTCGCCAGACATACCTGGGAATGCTGGCCGCTAGCCATGGTCTCCACGAAGCCGATAGCGAAACGAGCAGCACCTATGAACTCGAGCCACAGGCCTCCCCAGACGAAGAGGCGCACCAAGTCGCAAAGGCCCTGGGGTTGCCTGCCGCCTTTGACCCTACTATTAAACCGCTGCGAGACAGTCTACTCCCGAGGTCTCGACCCTCGAGCCCCCATCCCCCCGTGAACGGGACTCCAGAGCGACCGCCACTTGACCGGTCGCCAGGCAGCGCCGGCGGCGATACAGAGGAGGAGGAGGAAGAGGAGGAGGAAGAATTTGACGTAGTCGACGGAATGGATGTCCTCAACCAGCAACAGAAGTTGGAACTGCACAAGATGGAAGTTGGGGAAGCCGCAGCCCTTAGAAAGGGCGTGGACGATGAAGAAGAAGAGGAGTCGGATGAAGCTCAAGAACTCAAAGAGGCGTCGTAGAAGCCGCGTCTTGGTGACGAGTTGGACTCTGACGACATTGGTTACACCAGTGTCGGCTTTGACGGGGCCTGTGACGACGGGACACACAGACGTCATTATCCAATGGATTGGCGATGCGGAACACTTGGACACCGACGATCGTGCCATGACGTTGCTGCAAGCGTCCCCGCAGCATCAAACCAGATTGCGCAGGAGTCGCATAGCTTGATGCAAAAAAGCGGGCGGCTGGCCACGCCATTTTCTGCCTCTAGAGAAGCAACAGAGAAAGACGTCAACCCTAGCGACGATCTTGACATGACGCCAAACTCTTCTTTCGATCTGGAAATAAATGTCGTTGTCCTGCCTGATCAGCCGGACCTGAGTTCCCTGATGCCGCCCCGCAGCCCGGAAACATCATATCCAATGCCCATGGATGGCTTTGCACGACTCGCGCGGCCTCGCTCGGCGCCTGGTCATCTAGGGCCATCCAATGCGCCTTCTGTCTCCAAGAGCAAAGAGACCCCGGTTGAAGGCAGGTTACGACGAAACCGGTTGTTTTTGGCATGGCTAGGCAGAGGATATCGAGAAGTTGCCCAGGCAGCTGAGGATGGACGACAGGCACAAGGGCTTTTGGACGAGAACATTATTGCTACAGATTTCGCAACACGAGCGCATTGTGAGCGATGTGAGAGTGGCACGGCGGAAGTGGAAGTCTCTACAACCCAGGTTGGGCAAGCAGAAAGCGCGTCGTTTGTGGACGGGGCTGACGAGTCTGTGTTGCCCAGGCAAGAGGGTCAGGGTGCGGCACACGAGGAGAAACACTCTGCCCGGTAGAAGCGACGGCGTGAGATGGTCTCTCGATTTTGGAAGTGGCATTGCTGTTGGAGGGAATAGGATGGCATAGCGGTGCATAATTATTGTAGAAGCAGATAGTATTGCAGTAAGCAAAGCGATTCAACAGTGTTGGCGCATTTTGTTTCTTTGTCGGTGTGCCACCAATGGTTGTGGGTGATTGATTCTTGCGAGGACCTTTGTATACCTTTGCGTTTGATCGTGTGTGCCCGTTTCGCAGGGAAAAGGTGGTTGTCCAAGGACTGCCTGGTGTCTGAGTTACCAGACTGGACCGTATCAGGCAGGTTGAAGAAGGAAGAAGAAGGTTGTTCAAATGTTGACCATAGCCTGCTTGCTATAAGTTGTCATGCGTGCTGCAATGTGGTCTTTTTTTTTTTCTTCCACGATTCTCCCCCTTTTTTTATACATTATTGAATTTCCAAATTGTCAACCCGGGGTTTGGGCGACTTGTGGGTTTCTCACCATGAAGCTGGGTGCCGCTGCTGGGTGCTGCGGCAGCGAACATGGTGGTCACTGGTAGTTTACGACGACAGGCCGAGGGCGGACTGACTGGTGCGTGTTTTGCAGCTTGAGGCCTTGGGATCAACCGGAGCACATGCTGGCACTGGCTGGGCTGACAGTAGCAGAAGCGAGCTTGACCGGTCCGGTGCGAAACCGCCGCCGCCGTCGGCTATTCTGTGCCATTGATGCCACGGCCGCGTTTAGACGGGTCATCGGAGCCGCCCACATTCCACTTCTACAATTTGCTCGTGTGTTTCGATGTCCAGCCCCTCTCGATGAAGGCGCCGAGACTGCAATACCGTTCTGAGAATACGCTGCGGGGGCATGGGATACCTTTTTTTTCTGTTTACAAATATCACCATGTTTTATAAAAGGAAGCGGTCCTCTGGTGCCCTGTCCGCCCTCTTCTTCTGGACATGGGGAGCGGCCGGAACCAAGAGCATGCAAGGCAAGGGCCGCTCAATCTTCTGCCGTCGTTTTTACGGGCTGTCCGCCGTGGCCGCCTTGCAGACTGAGTATAGGGAACGGAGCTATGAGTTTGGCAAGACCATCAAGGCAATTGTGCGGGAAAGGTGCCCGCGAGACAAATTTAGGAAACTAGACCTTTCTACTGACCGGCTGTCTACATCTGAAGTCATACGTCCCCCCAATAACGAAGGATGCTGTGAAAAAGTATGTGGCACTTGGCTTGAAAAGCTGATGGAGCAGAAACAGCGCTCTTCTCGTCGGGATAACCCCGCGATTCACTGCGGTGTAGGTGCGTCGGGGAGTTCGTTGAGAAAGGATGCCATGCTTCGAGATAAGTTAGCTTTAGGGGATGGGATGTTGTGTTTTGAAATGGAGGCGGCCGGGTTGATGAACAGGTTTCCTGGTTTGGTTATTCGCGGTATACGCGATTGTGCCGATACACACGAAAATAAAGAGTAGCAAGGCTATGCGGCAATGATGGCAGCTGCGTATGCCAGGCGCCTTTTCTATCAGCTTCCTCCAAACTCAGTCGAGAAAGAGCGCAAGTTGAGGGATGTCGTTGAAAGTGGTGTGTTGTTTCCCCGAAAGCGAGCTCGGGAGGGGGTTGCTGCGACGGGCCATGTCCCTTATAATACAAGTACGAAATGAAAATGAGAATACTCTAATCAATATCAACCTCAAGGACTGCTTTGGCGTTTTCTCATTGGTGCTAGCTCTGAGATTTGGTATCGCAGACGTAGTGAAATTGCTAGTTGACGCAGGGACCAAGATTGACGGAAAGGACAAGGACAAGAGGCCCGAAGTAGTATCAACATTTACGGGAGCACGGCTTGGAAGAAACCCCATGGTAGCGGAATACCGTCCTCTTTTGGTCGGGCATTGACCCACTAAAAAGGCCGCGCCGTGCCGTTGGCCGTTCCCGGGTCCGGGCACTTTGGAGCACCGGCCGGAGCCAGTCACTGTTCCGACAACTCTGGCCAGCGTGGTCAGCTCCCAAAGCCTGATATGATTTGAGCACTTGCTGTTACCTGTCGGCCCAGCGGTAGAGAAGTCAACTCGCAATGCTGTCTACCAGTGTCCAGACTCCATTATGAAACTGGACTGGTCCACGGTTCAATTGTAGTGGTGCTATTTTGGAAGAAATAAGCGCCCGAGGGAAAACCATTGCCCTGCTTTCGATATTCAATTGCTTGGGCACCCTCCATTACAACGCCCGTGTTTAACATCCCTGGCGTCACTTGGGCGCCCTCCAAAAAGCCAACACGAGGAAGCCGTGTGGCAATGTCTCGAGCCATGATGGCAAGGCCAGCCTTCAATACGCATTTAGCCTGGAAAACAGCTGTCGAGCAAAGTCAGAATACCGAGGAGTAGGGACTCGGCTCAAGGGCCTAGGGGATCAGTGCATCTTTCAAGGCTAATAATTTGACAAATAACCCTTGTTGAAGCACGACCTTTCAATTTCATCAACGGTCAACGTCACACATGCTCCGACTGGCAAAAAGAGATGAATACTCCTCGCACATGCCGTGCCTGTCCACGATCCACGGCTCTCGTCTCTCAGAGTGCTCCATGCCAAGACATTCGCCTGCAAGATGGTGTGACAAATCGACACATCATCTGGTCGACTCTGCAACATGACGCGCTGCTCCGAGATTTACAATCCTGCCAATCACACTATTCCCTTTTGGGGTGCGGGGCCACCCATCATTAGCTGGCGCCCCACCCAGCGCGTGGCGGGCTTGGGCTACTACTCCGTAGAGGCACTAACAAAAAGCGCTGCGTCAACATGACAGCAGACAGCAGGAGCTTTGCTCCACTCCTTCCTTTTTTATGCCAGAGCACCTCTGGTGGCTTCAAATGGTTTCGTATAATACACTCGTGTACGAATGCATCACCACGCCGCCTCATCTCGTACCTCGTACTCCGTACCTCGTACCTCAGCTCCATTCTTGTCACAGCCCTCGCTTGCATCCGCCCCTGCTATCTTCTCCCCAATGTCCTCGTACTACCACCAACCTTGAATGCCAGCTGGCGACCCTGATCATCATTTTCGTCATCCCGCCGCCATCACTTGCGACTGCCCGACTGCCCGACTGCCCCCCAGCCAACCGACGAACCAACACATCATTGACGCTATCTAGATCCTACGCCCTTTGCGACCCTACTCCCTCGAACACCTACTCGGCCTCGTTCTGTGTGGCCTCTCCCTGCTCCTCACGCCGCATAGGATACAGGCAGAATGTGGCCCTTCACGAACTGCGGCAAAGACGCCTGCACCGCCCGCGACCTGAATATCACCGACTCCAAGGCGCTGGTCGCCTTATTCCCTTTCGCGGCAGCCTTCGTCGTCGTCAATATCCTCGTCGTACGACACGTATTCCCCAAATTGAGTCGTGCACACGATGAATACCGCGACGGTGAAGACCATTACCTCCCTGCGCATGCCCCGCCCGCTTTGCGACAAGCTCACGCCGAACATGGCGCAAAGAGCTGGAAACGACAAGGTGCCGCCTGGACATTCGGGGCCACCGTTGCCCTGGCCTTCACCTTGGGCCTCATCATACTCGCCGAAATATTGGAGGTTGTTGACCCAGCGGCCAAGAATCTGGCGTTGCATCTTACTGTCCCGTCTCTGCTTTCCCTGCTGATCGTCTTGGTCCCGTGGCTGCAATGCCGAGCCATCATCACCAGCGCGGGATGGAGCTTCCAGCGCACAGCCAAGGGGTCCATCCCCAAGGTGGCCTGGGCTCTGCAGTTGATGCTGTTTGGCGCATGGCTGTTCACCTTCTGGTCCGTAGGCAATACCGTGCCAGAATCAGCCACCAAGGATCTGTATGAGCGCGGCGTCAAGCGGACATCCTCTGAGACATTGACAAAGGAGTGTCTCGAGAGGGTTGGCGTCGTGGGAATCTGCCTCATGGCTCTGTTGGCCGGTTTTGCGTCCGTGTCTACGCCCTGGCACACCTTCGTGGATGCAGCAACAAGGAGGAAACGGCCGGTGACAGAGGCCGATGTCAACAGGAAACAGACTGGTCTGGAGGCTACCAGAGAGATGCTCGTTACGAAGCGCCATCAACTTCAACAGCTGGAAAGAAAAGCGCAAAACTCTGCTACTACTCCGCAGGGCTCGACAGGGCTCGTGGGCAAAATGATGGGAACATTCCGTGGCATTTCAAGCGACGAGGCCGAGATGCGCGCGCTGAGAGTCGACATTTCTGGTCTGGAAACCATGGAAGCGAATCTCGCATCCAACCTATCCATGATGCAGAACCACCGCGCTGCCACGGTCCGAGCCTCAACAGTATGCGGCCGAATCATGCTGGTGCCTTCATACGTCTTTGCGGGCTACTGTGTGTACCGAATTCTCGCCACCACCCTCACCACCCTCCGACGAATCCATTCCCCGTCAGCCAGCTTCTCCAACAGCGACCCCATCAACAGATTTCTCGGCCTCATGGCACGGCACTGGGACCCAAAGCTGGACCAACTCGCGTGGGCAAGAACCATCAGCTTTGCCTTGAGCGGCGTCATCTTGCTCGCCAGCGCAAACAGCGTCGTCCAAACGTTCCATCTCTTTGCCAAGTGGACGCCTGGTCTGCTGCGGCACGCACAGGCAAACTTGGCTTTGACAATTGGACAAATCACAGCCACCTATGTCATTTCTGCATCCCTGTTACTCAGAAGTCAACTACCAGCCAAGGCAGGAGTGGCTGTTACTGGCGTGCTTCAAGGCGCCCTGAGTCCATCCTTTGTGGACCACTGGTTTGAGATGTGGTTTTTGTCAGGAAGTGTTTTGACCCTCGTTGGCATCTGGGTGGGACGCAAGTTATCCAAAGGGTTTGGCGATGATGAGTGGGATGACTACGGGACGGAAGAGATGGGAGCAAAGCGGTCATAGCTAGCATAGACACGTGCCTGTCTCTGGAAAGCATTCTTTTCTTTTTTTGTGCGTTGGAGTTGGGAGTTTCACTATCTTCTATCTGGGCTCGGTCTTTCATAAATATATCACACCAGGCTTCATGCCTCGGTACTCGTTTACCATTCATCCTCGATGCTCAATGCTCCATCCATGTATCCTTCCAAAGCCACGTCCGGTGCAAACCAATCTCACCACACCACCCACATACATGTCGTGCTTCCACCATCACAGTCCCTTGTTCGCCTTGCCCCCAAACTTGGCCATCAACCTCGGGCCATCCATCTCCCTCTCCTTGTCCGCCTTCTCGGCGTACAGCCTAAACCCTTCCAAAATACTCCTCCAGGACCCCTCGGTCACGAACCCAATCTCCTCGCCGTCAGCCCACCGCCCGGCCTCAACCTCGGCCCTCGTCGCCCACGCCCACCGGTCATGCTCCCTCTCATCCAGCCGGACGACGCTCCCGTCGCCCAAGTCCTCGTCCACGTCCACCACGACCGTCACCTTGCCCCACCTCACCATGCCGTGCCTCTGGTCAGACTCCCAAAACGACACCGTCCTCGCCTCGTCCCCCTCGTCGTTGCGCGCCTCCTCCTCCTCGGCCCCCAGGTCCGTCGGCGTCGGCATCGGCGGCGCCTCCTCCAGCATCCCCACGGTGTACAGCATCCTCCTGGCCGCCAGCCCCGTCTCCTCGCGCAGCTCGCGCCGCACCCCGTCCAGCACGCTGCCGTCCTTGCGGTCCGACGTCGATCCCCCGGGAACCTCCCACCTCAGCGGGTACGAGTCGCTCGGCGCCCGGCGCAGGAGGAGCGTCTGCGCGGCGGCGCCGCCCTGCCGCGCGCGGAACACCATTGCCGCCGCCATGAGGCGCTGCAGGTGCGGTCTCGAGGAGAGGAACTCTGACGGCGGGCCCTTCAAGCACGCGGGGATGGCGTCGGAGACGGTGTAGGGCTCGTCCATGGCTACCGTGTTTTTGTGTTTTTAGTTGGTGTCAAGTTGGTTGTCAAGGCAGAGGTTTTGCAGGGCGGGGGGTTCCACTAGCGAATTCGATGGGCCTTGTGGCCGGGCGTCACGGAGCAACATGTGCAATTTGATCAAGGAGAGATGTTGAATCGGCAGCGTGGACACGCGCGATGGTATTTAAAGCTGACACGTCAGGTAGGAGAACCGGTCGCCCCCTCCCCCCTCGGACGGCCAACGGCCAACGTCACCACAGAAAAAGGCATCGCTTTGCAGAAAAAAATATATATTACCAAATCAAAGGCACTAGCACCGCAAGATTCCCAATTCAGTCCCACTCATCCCAACCCACGCCCCTTGCCCCTTCGCCTCGCTACTCTCCTTTCCCCGGCCCCCCCCCCCCTTTTGGCTAAGAACAGATCGCCATGCCATTCATCATCAAACTCATCAGTCGTGTAGTCCGTAGCATGCATCCGTTAATCAGCGCGGAGAGAAAAAGCTGGAAACCAGAAGAAGAAAAATTCTGCGTCGGCACGCCAAAACGCTGACTTTGCGTCGGGAGTGAAGGGGGACTTGAAATAGAAGGAAGGCGTGTCCATGTATCCCAGAAATCAAAGGCTAGGTAGATGTTTGCATCTCCTCATCATATAGAGAAATATCAGCGTCTTTCTTTCTCTTCTTCATGCCCGGAGAAGAACAAAACACGAGTTTCAAGGTTGGAAAGAAAAAGATGGATAGGTCTGGGATCCATGGGCGCTATCTTGCGATGGCATCTATAGTCGTTTAACGAAATACGGGGGAAAAAGAGAAGAAGAAAGAAATAGCGTGATTAAGAAAAAACGGGAGGGGGGCGTGACTAGAATGTACAATCTCAGTGCTCTTTTCTTGTTGTCTCTCCCCTTTTACGCCAGCGGGCGTCCCTGACGTCCCTTTTTGTTCGGCACAGTTGTCCATCCATCCTCGTCCACTGGGGTGGTCTCGCCCTCGTCTGCCCCCTGGGCAGCAGAAGCTTGCTGGTCTCGTGCTCCGTTGGCACGGGGTCCTCCTCGGCCTTCATTGCGGTGTCCTCGTGCCGCACCGCCACGGCCCCGACCACCACCTGGGGGTCCGCGGGGGACGCGCTGATCATTGGAGGCCGACCTCCAGTTTCCAGACTCAGTGGCCCTTGACTTGATAGATTCTTTGGGTTCCCGAGGCTCCCGGGGCTCCCGGCTTCGCGGCGCTCCCTTTTCCTCTGTAGACGCTCCGTTTTCCTTCTCGCCAGCTTCGTCCTCGGCAGATTTGAGCTCTGCCTCCTTGGCTTCCTCGGCCTGTGCAGCGGCGGCGGCAGCGGCAGCGGCAGCGGCAGCAGCGTCAGCTTCTTCTTTCTCAGCAGCGGCCTGCTTGGCAAGTCGTCGCTCCTCCTTTGCCTTTTCGTCGGCTTCTCGCTTCTCCCGGATGGCAATCTGGCGCTTCTCCTCGATTTCTTGCTCACGGGCCGCTGTGTTGATGGGTCGAGCGGCTCCGAATGGGTTAGCCTTGGAATCGCCACCAGATGCAGTGGGAGCAGCCTCAGCAGTCTCGGTGACAGTCCTCTTCTGCAGGTTCAAGCGGGGGCGGCCGCCTTGGGCAGCGGGTGCAGGTGCGGAGGGAGAGACAGCGGTTTCAGTCTCTTCTGGGGCCTTGGCAGCATCAGGGCGCATGCTAGAACGCCACTGGAAGTCCTTCTCGGCAGCAGTAGGAGCACGTTCGGGTTGCTCTCGTCGAGGAGGCCGTGAACCGTCCTGTCGTCCCTCACCCCAAGAGGCAGAGCCTTGACGAGATCCGCGGTGAGATTCGCCCCGCTCACCCATGCCTTCGGGAGCGGGACGAGATCGGCTACCTTCACGAGGTCCAGGACCACCCTCCTGAGGCGGCAAAGGAGAAAGAGGTCCGCGTCGTTCCCAGTTCATCTCACGAGGAGCACGGGGTTCAGCGGCAGGGTCACGAGGAGGGCGACGCTCACGGTCACCACCAAAGTCAGAACCAGCACGACCACCACGCCCAGGAAGATCCGGAAGAGGTCCCTTGCGAGTCCAGTCACTAAGATCGCGAGAAGATTCGCCGCCGCGGCTGTCACCACCACGAGCTGTATATTGTCAGTGAACTCATTGATTATCACCTAGTATAGGCAGCAGCAGCAACTTACGAGGGTCGGCAATCTTAATCTTGATCATTCGTCCATTAAAGGATTCTCCATCAAGTGTCAAGGCCTTCTTGAGCCCTTCGATATCAGCAAACTCGACATATCCGAAACCCTTGGGGCGCTGCATCTCGCGGTCCTCAATAATGCGGACGCTGACAATCTCGCAGCCCTCGAAGAATTCGGTGACGGTCTCATTGGTAGCGTCATAGGCAAGGTTACCAAGGTGGGCAGTGAATGGGGGCTTATCGGGAAGTTTCTGAGGAAGGTTCTCCCTGATGGAGGAGTAGCCTGGCTTGCGGTTAGCGATGAAAGCTGAAGACTGAAATATCTGCCAAGTACTGACCTCTATCCTGCCAATTCGACATGCCACTGCTGCCACCTCCAAAGCGAGGTCGGTCGCTAGGGGGAAGAGGCTGAGTGCCTAGTTACACATTGTTATCAACATCACTGCTACGCGTCGCGACATATCGAGAAGTCCAATCATACCGGTGACTGCAAGCGAGGGTCCGTGTCAGTGGCTTTGGCTTCAGCATGCTACGGCGTGGGTATCCGACTCACCATAAGTTTCCTCAACTTCATCAGCCCAAGACCCTCCTCCAAAACCTGAATATTGGATTAGCAAACGGACACGACACAACATGACAGGGGGAGGTTGGCGGCGGGGTTCGTGATGGCCCCGCGACTAGCAACGCACCACTATCAGTCAGAAAGTCCCCCAGGGACATTTTCTGCTGCTGTTCCTTCTTCTTGGGAGCTGCAGCACAATAAAATCGTCAGCCATGCTCTGAATTGGTTGGTGAGTCCGTCTTTGGTATTTCGGGGTCGGGCATACCCATGATTGCGGCGTGGGCGGCTACGCGCAACCGAGTCAAAGACCGATGCGCGCAGGACAAAAGTCGACAGGCGAAGAGCCGAACCGAGCAGCTCTCTCCTCGTCAAGCGGGCAAAGGGGATGACGGACAATGTCGCTGGTTCCGAACGAGGTAAGATTTTCTGCTTTTTTGGTCCAAGCCGGGGATTGGCGCGGGATCGGAACGATCGCGATAGTTGACAAGACCCCGACGAGCGTTGCCGTGTCTGGGGTTGTTTCGAGTCGAAATTTGCTCGAGCGTGGAAAAAATGCTGGAGTATGTGAGGGTTGCCTTCAATTTTCGCCAGCCAGGGAGTGGGATGCGCTAGTCCTATTTAATTCTAGTCCAGGTGTGCCGATGTGCGGCTTGACGGGGAGGGACAGCTTGCACCTTGAACACTTGAAGGCCTTTGGGGCTTTGGTCCAGCTCCTATTGGGCCGTTCCGGGGACGGAGTCAGCACCTACAGCGAGCTGGTGGTGCTGTAGAGACGAAGTCCACCATGTGTTTTAGTAGTCCAGCCAACCAGACCAAGGCCCTTGGGTTTGTGCGTTCATGCCGAGACCCACCTCGGACCACATATGGCCCCATGTACTCCGTAAAAGTTGCGAGTTGCCAGTCGGTATCTCAAGGTCAACGACAAGAACCAACCTGAGCCAACGAAAAAAAAGACAGCTATGAGCTTCTGACCCTTACAGCGTCGCATATCAGGGACTGAACATGCTTCTTTCATGAATCTGGCCTCAATTTTGCCTCGGGGTCCAGCGAATACTTTGTTCAAGAGCGCCGCCAAGTCTTGGCATAAGCTCTGCCAGAGCAAAGCCTTTCAAGATGGCATCAAACGGTGATGACAGAACACCAAACATGCAACGGAGGCCACAAAGGCCAGGATTCTTTCCTCCCGAATTTGTAGAGCTTGTTGTGCCTCCATTAAAAGTAGGTGTCTACTCGGGTATGTCAGCATCCACTGTCCTGCATCTCTACATCTCTGCATCTCTGCATCACAGAGAAAAATTTGTCTAATACGCAAACAGGTACGGCGGGTGTTTTGGCCGGAGTAGGTGGAGCAATTGCCAGAGATACCAGCCCTGTGGCTAGCGGTGTATTCTCTGGAGTACAATGGTTCATGCTGGGCAGCAGCTTCTGGTGTAGGTCAAGTCTTATATGGCTACTCTTCAATCTCGCCAAATGGTCATCATCTTGACTAACGCTCATGCAGTCACCAGATCTGTAGGAATAAAAGTGTACGGGGGCGAAGGAAGAATGACAACAACAGACAAAGTGTATGTCAGTGGCTTGGCTGGTTCGACAGCGGGAGCCGTGGCTGGGTTGGCTCGTGAGTATTATCATTCACATTAACAATTACTTTCACTGCGTTCCTCTGGCTGATGGTTCTTGACAGGTGGCCCTGCGAGACTATTGCCAGCAATGGTTATATGGGGTTTAGTAGGAGCAGGTGGGCAAGCAATTGCCAATCGCTCGACACCATCACAGGCTAGCAAAAGTAGTGACGGCAGCAGTTGGCTTTCAAAGCTGAGCCCGTTGAAAAAGTTGACCGATGAGGAGTATATCGATATGATGAAGGAGAAGATTTTGAAAGTAGAGGTGGATATTGCTCTGATTGATGATCGAATTGCCGAACTCAAAGCTGCTGAGGAGGAAAAAGAGGGTCGAAGCCAGGCTGGAGATGCCTCGCGATGAAGATATCAAAAAGAAATGGAGACAAATGAATCGTGGGGGGTGAGCAATGCCTGAATCAGAAGCGTGGCATAAGAGGGGGTACGCTTGTAACATTAGGGACATGACATTGTGTTCTATGCGGAAGGGAATATCATAAGGGCTTAGGGTAGGCTATTGTATCATTTCGTGGATCAGCTATTCTAGTGTGTGAAATACCTGAAGTACTTTTGTCGTCATACAACGAGTTGCTCTCTGCGATTGTGATATTTTGTCTAGTCAGCCACCTGCCACTGTTGATGAAGGAGCTTTCGTCAGGCTGGATCACGCATCCCTCGCAATTTCAAGCGAGAGGAGCCCCATTGCCGTCGCTTGTGTAACGAAATGAGAGGGCAAAAAAAATAAAAATAATGATGATGATGATGATGATGACGAAGAGAAGAAAATAGGGGGAAAAGTAGGAATTAATATTCTTGTGACTATTTCTTCATCTGGTCTAAGTTACCTAGACACATGACCGACTCCACGCATTGTGGCTTCTGAGAATACATGTACTCCTTGGCCCGATGCTTAGGGTAGCGGAGTAGGTCGCGATCAACGGCATTGAAGTTGACGGAGAGTTTTGTGCGCTAAAATACTGTAAGCCCACACTTGACCAAATAATGCGCTAACAAATCCCCGCTGCCAAAACATTGAATGTGGACAGGACCGGGAAGAAGCCAGGAGGTCGGAATGATTAGCACATTCATATATGCCAGATGGCAGGGCCGTCGGACTAGTGCCATGGCAATACATAGTTCCGTCGTCCAATATTATCAATAGTATCTGTCGAACATACGCCAGGCTATATCAAGGCTGGCTGCGCAGACCATCCCGCCAACGACCCCGTCGCCCGTACCTGCCTAAACAAAGCGAGCCTGATGTCGCGACACGCTGGTATTTGTCGTGGTGTTGATTTGATAGCCTAGTCGGTACCTGTACGACATGGATCATGGGGCGCAGAGTGTTCTGCCGACTGGCATGATAAAATGGGGTTTGATTTCGATGAGGCCTCCATTGACCATCCACACCTCCTGCACCCTGGGCGAGGACAAGCTGACGGACATTAGAGCGTTATCAGACCTCTGATTAAGTATGCCGACACGGTCGTCGGCCAAGCAAAGTACTATTGCGTACGGAGCATGCTGGATGCTTTTGTGGCGTTGCCCGTGGTATCGTCTTGATATTTGGGACTCAGCCATTTGAACCAACGCCCACTAATCCCCATCAATGACGAGCATGGGAACATTGGGACCAGACACAAGGACCTTACTGAATTGCGATGGCGCAGAGAGTGGTTGGCCTGCCCGATAGCGTGACATGGGGCTTGGATTTTTGCCCTGAACTGCATGAATGAAGTAGGCGAAGATGAATCGAAAGACAGGTCCGCGCCAGTGGCAGGTTCCGTTGGCGTCGAGGTCGGTGCTTGTTAAGCGTGTCAGTGCGATGCAGAATTTGCTCAACAAGCAAAATATCAACTGGCAGCAACAGTAGCACAAGTGGGCGCGGCTCTGCAGCATCGACGGCAACATTGACACACGTCACACGTCACACTCGAGCAATCTCCGCTCCATTCTTGCCTCGCGCCCGACACTCGCCGGGCTGCACACTAGCTGCTGACCATTTGGCCATTTGCGATGTTGTCAAGCCAGAAGTCTCCATGTCCAGTCGATCTTGTCCGCCTGTCCAAGGAGTGTCTCTGAGGAATAGTACTTGCGTCCATGTATGGAGTACATCCGCACGCTGCCCCGTGCCCCGTCATGGTGGTCATTGGTGCATAGCGGCTCTGAGCGGCTCTGAGCCCTCGGACCGCTCAAGTACCATTACCCCGAACCCAAGTACCCGGCGTAGCGGCTCCAGCCCACCGGACACTTCCATGTCCACTGACATGGCGCCCCAGAGCACTCTGACGCCCGAACATTGAACTCGAGCGCTGCACTGCAGGCGACGATCAATTGATCTATGTAACCAAAGGATTGCCTAGCACTCTGTAGGTACATCCTTCTTTTTTCTCCGACCTCCGTAATCTCATGTATGCATTTCTTTGACGACGGGTCTTCCCACTCTATTACCTCTCTTCTTCTGTTATCTACAAAGCCCTTTGCGCGCCTGCGAGGCTTCCCTGGCCTCTTATCCTGTTTGCCGCCATAAGCCTCTCTTTGCCCATTGACGGCCGGCCCGCTTCCAACAGCTCCAGGACAACGTCCAGCCCGCCCCGACACATCCGCCACGTATCCCGGGCTTCCAGCTCCTCCAACTACTTGCACTCTCATCACGCCCCTCGGCTGTGACGTTCTGGGGGAACGGCCTTGGGTTCCGGCATACTCGGATCGGTGCGCAATCGGAAAATTTGTGTCGCCAAGCTGCTCGGCGCGGCCATCTACCACTGACGATCGACCGTGCAGTGCGGCCCAACCTCGAGACCCCGACCATCGCGAAGTTTATTTTGGCATCTGGCACATAAGTGATATTGACCATGGCACTCCGCTGCTGTGCCTGCCAGTGACAGACCCTAAGGGTTGACCAATCCCCTGTATTGACGACGTAGGTCATATCTGCGGTTCCATATGTGTGCCGGTGTGCTCTTTGTCCTGAAACTAACGTCATAGAACCGCAGTCATTCGTTAATCGGGTTGTAGTCTCAGGTACATGTTGGGCTTCGGGGTCAAAGGTCAAACACGAATCCACATACCATGGCCCTTCTCAATCCGACTTTCCTCCTGGGAGTGCTCGTCCTACTGTACCTGTCGTCTTTTGTCTTTTTCGCTGTTATTCGAATCCTCACTGGCGTCTCCATCCAACGAATTGGATACCTGTCGCTACGCCGGCTCGCGTACACCCCTCGAGATGGCTGCAGAGTCGAGGTAAGAGGGCTGGGGCTCAACATACACCGACCGACTTTTGCCCAGCCAACTTGGATAAGTCTAGTTTTAAACGAATTGGTCGTCACGGTGGACGTACGCGAGCTTGAGGGACACAAGCCTCCCAACAACGACGACGGCGGCGGCGATGACGAAAAGTCCGGAAGCGAGGCCTCCCCTGATGAGTCTGCGCCGCCGCCCAAGACTCAGCGCCCGCGCCGAAACGCCGACACCCAATCTCGAAGCGAAACGTGGGAAAGGTTGGCTAAGCTCAAGGAGAGAATCAAGAAGCTACACACAAACATACGATGGCTGAGAATGATTGATGTGGTCGCTACCAACTCAACCATAAATGTTGTCGACGTTGGCAGCATTCAGGTCGGCAGCCTTACTGTGGCCGTTGACACGAGGAGGAAGATTGTTGACCACGCCCGGCTCTTCAAATTTCATTCGAAGAAGAAGGAACAACGACAAGCCGAGTGGATCATATCTTTGCGCAGTGTTCTGTTCACTGCCGATGGGAGCGAATCGCTCGAGGTCCTGGACCATTGCTTACTCAATGTCCATGGCTTCTTGTACGAGTCGCGGCAAGGCCTGCGTGATGCTACCATCTCCTTGAAGCTGGGACGAGTCCATGTGCCGTACGACGACCTGAACGCTTGCGCATCTCGACTAAGAACTTGTCGCAGGCGACCAAACGCCGTCGACTTTGACGAACCCGTAGACATTGTCCTCTCTCATGTCACCGAAGACTCGGGCGATAAAGGCACACAACAGGACGACCTGATGAAGGCCGTGACAGATTCAAGAGAGTTTGTTAGTTCAATCCTGCGGGGCATCAAGGAGGTCCAATTCGCAGTCAGTTATGTCGGCATGACCCAAAGGATAGAATCTGTCAAGCCTGAAGGCTCGCCTATGCTCCTCAACGCCTCCATGAAGGAGGTTGGCATTGATTTGCACCGTCTAGATCCGAAATCTCCAGCCCATCGCATGTACTTCTCACCTAAGGACATTGCCCACGAGGCTCTCGCGGCCGCACTATCCCTTTCTGTTGGAATCGACGATGGTCACGGCGCCCCCCAACGACTCTTGTATATACCCATGACCACCACCACAGTTAGGACCACCCTTCCATCAAAAACGATTCAGTTGGCTGAGGACGGCGCCATTGGCGAAAAGAATGCCAATATTATGTTTGCCAATTCCGTCATCACCTCGCCGTCCGTGGATCTCGATCCTGCCCATCTCCCTCTGCTCATTGCCATGATGCAACCCAAACCCAAGGCACCAAAATCCTCACGTGTGAGAAACCACAGTGTTTTGTCCAGACTCCTTCCAAAAGCCAGTATCAAATTCTCAATGCACGAACCGGTTCTTCGTATGAAGCTTAAACCGTTACAGGATACGGAAGATGCAGATGATTTTGACCTCATTATTTCATCAATATCCTCTGTTTCATTGGATGTTGAGGCATCACACTCGACCATGGAAGATATGCACTATTTTCTAGATGGGGCCATGAGATTGCAGTCTCATCATTTGTATTACCAGACTTGTACGGGTGATAGGTTCAACCTGATTACGACAGAGTCCTTCGACCTGAAGGCACACTTAGCCGCCAGACCTGACGTTTGTGTCGAGCTTACCGGAAATATCCAATCATTTGGGATCAGCATGGTGCGACCTGAGATAACGGACGGGCTCCGCCAAATTGTTCGGCAGCTTCGCATCGATGTGGAACCGGAGAAGCGATTCAAATCCAAGACGGCAAAGCATCAGAATTTTTTGCGATCTCTGCCTGATTGGCTCGTTAGGTACCAGATTGAAGCCACAGACTTCAACATCGAAGTAGCTGGTGTAGACGAGGACATATCAGATGATACCAGGGGTGTCACCATACATCTAGACTCATTCTCTGCCGAATACAGGGCACACCGTCTAGATGGTCTGCAGCGACGGCCAGGCAGGCGGCGAACTCACAGCAGATCTGTTACACAATCTGACTCAGATTTGACACCGTCACCAGCTTCTCCCCGGTTCAAGAAGAAACCACAGATTACCGGGGACGGACGTCGGCTAGCGCTGTATGCAAAAGGCATCGAGGCCCAAATTGTCGAGGGCTCA